AAGGGCTAAGCAGAATTGAAACGGAAAAAAAAAAAAAAAAATTAATAGTCGAGGTATTTTCGATCGATGGATTGCTCGCGATTCCAGCCGCGCTAACGGGTAAGGTCGTTAGTCCCGTAAGTGTAGTGTATATTTTTCGCGTAGAGTGGCGGTGATTTTCCCTTTCCGGATGGCAAGATCTGGTGTTGACCTACTCGTCGACTTGTGGGGGGGGGTCCTCAACCAGGTATCTCCCACACGCGGAGCTCTGCCCCAACCAGGACATGCATTAAACACAGGATGTCAGTGTGTATAAGCAAGGGCAAGGATAGGACAAGGAAGAGGAAGTAAATATCGTGTGATCTGTAGACCGTTTCTGGGCGCACTGCTCCGGCGTTGGCTGGGGTTAATTGAAGAAACCAACCACGGACAACTAACGATCAGAGCAGTCAGACACTAAAAATTGTCATAGAGTAAGCGAGTAAATTCGTGCAAAACTTTTCTCCTAGGCTGGAGATCCCGAGAAATGTAAATTAGAACATTATTCAATGGTTGAGACATTATCTCTAGCATGGTAAGAAAATAGAACTTGTATTCAAGAAGTTAATTAAGCTGAGCACATGTAGTTGAAACTAATCAAACGTCTCGAAGATAATAGGAACTCGCTGACGTTCAGATTTTAGACGCTGCTCCTCATATCTTTTAGCAAACTTTTTTTTAGCAGATGAACCAAACATCGTAGTCACTGATACCTGGTTGGGGATGTTATGTTCTTGTTCTATTGAATAATCAGTACAGGGTTTAAACTCACCGAACAGTTTATTGACCTAAATTTGTACATCCATGAACCCTTTCCCAAAGAACATGTAAACTTCCCAAGTTACTCACTCTTCCCGCTGCGATGCGCCACCTCTCGTACGACACGGCTGTTCGACTGCTCGCTGGCGCGCAGGCTCGCACCAGCAGGCCCTCTCCCTGGGGCGCGGTCTTCCGGGTTCCTCTCCCCACGACCGCACCTCGCAGCACACGCGCTAACGCAGTCTCTGTAGTGCCCGCCGCGTCAAACTTCCACTGCGCTCTGCTTCTTTGTGCCGGCAGGCCCGTTTTATACCGGGCGCCGTTGTGGGCAGAGACTCGAACCTTGCCTTGGAGTCAATCGAGCACAACCCGCCCGAACTGCTGGTCCGAGCGCGCGCTGTTCACGGCAAATTCAAATTCGCGCAGCAAATTCAAATTCGCGCGCGCGGCAAATTCAAATTCTTGCAGAACATAACTGGGGAGAACCCTGCTAGCCGACGGTAGATCGCCGCCGGATTTCACCATCTAGCGCGGGAGGATCACCGCCACCTACAGAGGAGCAAACATACGCAATGCTTACAAGCCTATCGGCCTTAGCGGTTGACGCGCCTGGAATCGCTAATCAATCGGATCAATCGGTAAGCATCGCTAATCAATGAGATCAATCGGTGAGCATTCCTTCTCAGAGCGGGCGTGTGTGGGTGCGGTGGTGAGCGCAGGGAGGCACCTTCACCACGGCGTACGCGGTGCTGGCGGCCTGGACGCCGCCCGAGGAGCGCGACACGGTCGTCGCCATCCTCTCCACCGGTGAGCGACCCCGTTGGTTCAGCCCAGAAACTCCTCCAACCTTTTCTTTCATCAACCCCTTTTTAAGGGGAGAGGTTAATAGTTTTACCACCCATGTAAACTGTACATTTTCTATAAAATTGTGTACAATACATTTTTTTATTTTTCGCACATTTAAAAGATATTGTCTATTATTATTATATTGACATTTTTTAAATTGATTATGAAAATAATTAGTTTTTTTCAATTATATTGCTTCTTATCCAATTTTTCAGCATTTTTTATTTTATATATTTACATTACATTATTTCATTACATTAAAACACATTATTTATATATTTATTATTTATAACGGAGTTGGTGTTAGACACTTATGTGACGGTGGTGATGGTGATGGTGGCGGTGGTGGTGATAGGGGAGGCGCTGGGGATGGTGGCGGTGACGCATCTGGGCATGGTTTTTGACGTGGTGGTGGTGATGGGGGCGGCGCGGGGGACGGTGACGCCGACGCAGATGAGTGTGATTTTTGAGGTGATGGTGATGGTGGTGGTGGCGATAGGGGCGGCGCTTGGGATGGTGGCGCGTCGCATCTGAGCATGGTTTTTGACGTGGTGATGGTGATGGTGATGGTGATAGGGGCTGCGCTGGGGACGGTGGCGGCGACGCACCTGAGCATAGTTATTCACGTGGTGGTGGTGGTGGTGGTGGTGGCGGTGGTGATATGGGCGGCGCTTGGGACGGTGGCGGCGAAGCATCTGAGCATGGTTCTTGACGTGGTAGTCGTGGTGATGGTAATGTTGATGATGGTGATGGTGGTGGTGGCGGTGGTGACAGGGGCTGCGCTGGGGACGGTGGCGGCGACGCACCTGAGCGCGTGGGCGGCCGCCGCGCTCTCGTGGCGCTGGAGCTTCCTGCTGGCGGCCGTGGCGTGCGTGCCCTGGTGCGGCTTCTGGGGCATCTACGCCGCGCGGGAGCCGCGCCGATCCCCCTACATCTCTGGGAGCGAGCGCGCCTTCATCGCTGCGGCGCTCGTCGCAACCACCGTGCCGGAGGTAAGCCCCGCACCCACCCCCTTGCGTTTGGATAGATTAATTGGTTGTTTAGCGATTCCGGGCACATCAACTACCAGGGACAGTAGTTCCGTGAGTCTAATGCATATTTTTTACTCGGGAGGTAGCGGCGATGCTGTATGCTGAGATCCGGCGCCGACCTACCGTCGTCTAGCAGGGTTTTCCCCAACCAGGTATCTCCAACTTGCGTGACACCGCCTCAGCCTCGACCAGCTCTAAACTCCTAACGGGTCTCTCTCACGTGTGGTAGTGTAGTGCGTGTAAGAGTGTATGTGTGTGTAAGGGGTGAGGATAGTACAAGGAAGACGAAGGTGAGATCGCGCGCGGTCTGTTGCCCTTTTGTTAGGGTGCTGCTCCGGCATTCGCCTGGTGTTGATCAGAGAAACCACGGAAAAATACAACCGGCGGCTAGAATTCTCCTCCACACAGCGACTGAATTCCACCTAGGTAACAAGCTAGTGTCGAAAGTCCTGCCATTGCGTTTGGAGGTTCGGATGGAAGGACTAGACATTACACTGGAAGGGTCGATTGAACGAGTTTAGCGATAACCGACCTCTTGCACTTGTACGTTCGATGGGAAGGTCTTGGTGATTCTCCCGATTCCTTAAACGTGAACGTTCTATAGAAAGGAGTAGGCGAGATCTGACCACTTGCACTTGAACGTTCGATGGAAAGGAGTTGGTGACTCCCTCGATCCATTACTCATGATGGCGCGATTGAAAGAATTTGGTGAAGTGATTCCTCCCATTACGTACACCGCAAGGTTTGATTGACAGGTGAAGACGACTCTCGATCTCTTACACTTGAAGGTTATGTTGAAAGGATTGAGTGACAACCTTCCGATCTTTTACACTCGAAAATTCGATGGAAAGGAGTTGGTAACTCCCTTAAGTCCTTACACTGGAAACGTCGATTTAAAGGTTTTGCTGACCTCCAACCGTAAGCTTGAAGGTTAGACTAAATAAATGCCCCTGATGCCTTACAGTTGTACGTTGTATAGAAAGGAGTTGGTGAGCTCTGACCCTTACACTTGAAGGCACGATTGAATGGTTTTGACAAACCTCCTATCCCTAACCCTTGAAGGTTCCACTGAAAGAAGTTGAAGATGAGATTGAAGTGAGTTAATGATCCCCGACCCCTTACATTTGAAGGTTCGGTTGAAAGGAGCTGGCGACTCACGGCCCCTTACGCTTGAAGATTCGATTGAAAAGAGTTATGACTATTTCGAGTCCCTGCATTAAGGTTCGATTGAAAGTAGTTGCACTAGAAAGTTCGATTTAAAAAATTGATGTCTGACATGTGTGAGAGGTAAGGACGCACTATGGGCAAGCCACCTTGCACTTTAAGATTCGATTAAAATACATTTGTGATAGACACGTATGCGTCGTTGAAGCCATACGCAAATAATTCACGCACATAGTGCATACTTTGCACTTTAAGAGCCCGATCACAACAAAGTGTTAACTGACACACGTGAGACACAAGGATACCGCGCAGACAACCCTCCCGCTTATACTTTAAGAATGGATTAAAATAATGATTGACTCTTGTGTGAGACGAAAAACACTCCTCTAGGCAGCATCCCAGAGCTTTTTAAGGTTCTATTACAATATGTTGGTGACTGACACCTGTGTTTGACAGTCGCTAACAGGCAGGCCATCCCCTTACGAACCTTACGGAGTTGGTGTCAGGCACATTCGTGACTTAAAAAGACCCGCAAGTAAGCCCCCTTGCAATTTAAGGAGCACTTAAATGAAATTGATGACTGACCCTTGTGTTTGAAGTAAGCATGTAAGGCTTACCCTAGTTGCAACTTAAGGTTACGTTAAGCGAAGCTGGTGACTCACAATTGTGTGTAACGTAACAACACCTGATAGGCAAACAAGTCCATTGCATTTTGAGGATCTTTACAAGGACACTAGAGACAGACACTGAAGTATGATGTATGGAAGCCCCTCAGGGAAGCATCTACCTCGTCGTTCTCTAAGGTTGAATGAAAATTAGTGGAGGACTGGCATCTGTGTGAAGTACGGACGTTCCAAAGCCAATATCACCATTGAACTTAAAGATTCGATTAAAAGAATTTGGTGACTGGATACTCTGTATGACGCAAAACGGCCCCGCATGCAAGACTCGGTTGAAAGGTTGATAAAAAATATTGGTGACTGTGAAGTAAGTTTGCTAAGTGGCCAAACCTTGTCCCATTTCTCTTTAAGTATAGATTACAAGAAGTTTGGGATTTGAACTTGAGAATAATGTGAGGGCTTGGTGTGACGTAAAATAATATCGTTCTTTTATATTTAACTCAACATTATATTAATTCACCTGCGTTGTATTTAAAGTGTTGTGGTAGAAATTTGACAATCTGAAATGAAAAACTAAAAAAATACATGTATTTCAATGGGATAGAAAGTATTAATAGTAATGATGTGATAAGTTCTTTTTTTCTTTACTACCTTAGCATTTACTACCTAAACTTTTAACCGAGTGAAATGTGGTGGATAAAATGGTAATACCGAAACTTGGTTTGATAATAAGGGCAATATGTTATTTGATAAATGAATTATAACGGGGAAGGGCGATTCTGTCAAAACTAAAAACTATTGTATTCTTAAACAATTGTCATAACATGTACTCTAATTTTGACGAATATGCATTGTATATTTCTTTCATAACTAACTAACTAAATAACCATCTGTGCAGATCATGATATGTTGTTTTGCATTAGATATTACTCATTCTGTTTTATTTATTGACTAAAGGCAGGGTTTGTTTACGTCAAGTTTCTTGATGCTGGCTGTCTTTCCTCTTATTTTACGTCTGGTATGTTAACGGCTGCCTAATTCCGTAGGAAGGAGCAAAGTTCCCGTGGCGGCCCGCCATGTCGTCCTTGCGATTTTGGGCCATCCTCATTGCGCATTTCTGCCACAACTGCGGGTGGTGCTTCGTCCAGACCCTGATGCCGACCTTCATGAAGTACGCGCTCCACACGCACGAGAGGCAGGTATTACATTAGACCCATTTATGCGATCAGTTGACTTTCGGGGATGCCAAATTAAATTGAAGAGCTTTTTTCCAAAGATAATTATCTCCCTAAAACATGATTTTTTACGAAAGGAAGTTATTGAGGGAAAGGGTTAATGTTTGCAGTGTTAGAATAAATTGAGGTGGCTTAGGACATTAACTGATGTTATTGCACTGCATCCGATTGGAAGGTTCTATGGTTCGAATCTCGACGGTGGCAGGGTTTTCGATACTAGCTACGTAGCTTTGTCGAATTCAGCCGCTGTCTGGAGGAGAATTCTAGTAGCCCACTGCTCTCAACGGTAGTTTTTTTGGTTTCTCCTATCAACATCTCTATCTCCCATCTTTCCTTCTTCCTTGTTCTATCCTCACGCCTTACTAACGGACGCTTATACCTACATTTATTAACTAGAAAGTTAGGTTTATTAAACAAGTTATTCTTTTAGTTATTATTTTATTATAATGGTTACTTTTATTATTAGTATTGTGATAATTACAATTGAATGCATTGCTTTATTAAATACATAATTATATTTAAAGTAGAAGTTTTATTGGAGTGTCGTGACGTGTTGTTCAGTGTAGTTCAATAGAGCAGTAGAAAGAGATGTGAAGTGCAAGTGTAGTGTATTTAAAAAGTGTATTTATTAGTTGGAATATCTGTTGAGGACAGTCATAAAATGCAGATTTAAAGCTGTTATTGTTATTATTGTCTTTATTGCTATCATATTATAATTATTACTATTATTGTCTTAAAATGTTTTAAAATTACATTAGACCATTATTCCTAACTGTAATATGTTAATTGTACTGTTCTGCCGCCAGGTTGTATAAACCTACCCGCAGAAATAATGCATTCATCTATCTACATGCACTACATAAACACACACATTGAGAGACCATGCGAGAACTTGGAGCCTGCGGCGGAGTTTCGCTGGTAGGAGATACCCGGATGGGGAAAGCCACCGTGTAGGTCGTCGCCATATTTCTCCATCGCACGAGAGAAGAACACTGTCGCCTTCCGTCAATGCACTACACGTACGGGACTGAAACCCAGAGCAGTCGAAGCACCCGTACATTCGAAACAGACAATCGCAGCATTTGAGAGCCGTCTCGCACTCCGGAATCTTGAGCGAATGTAGGTCTGTACGCGTGGTCGAGTGAAGCACAGCAATTTGCGTTCTACGTACGGGAAGCGAACTATCACCCAACGAACGAGTTTGTATTCCAGGTGATTATGGGGGAGATGGGGGAGGGGAAGGGAGATAATATTGATTATTTGGGGATTTCAGGTCACTGGATATAATAATTAATCCCGTAAGTGTAGTGCATATATCCCGGGTGGTGGTGGTGGTGGTGGTGGTAGTGGTAGTGGTGGTGGTGGTGACCCTCCCACTTCGGAAAGTGAGATCTGGTCGTGATATAAACATCAGTCGGAATGGTTTCCCCTTTAAGCATCTCCTCCCTGCGGGACTCCGTCCAAGTTGGGTTACGATCTAGCTTAGTCTCACAAAGTGCAATAATGGTACTTGTAGAGGATTGTGTGTGTGTGTGTGGTGTGTGTGTGTGTGTGTAAAGGAGGAAGGCAAGGAGGACGGGGGGTGAGGGAGAGAGAACGGCGGAGGAGTAGGAGAGGAAGAGGAAGAGAGGAGGAAGAGAGAGAGAGAGAGAGAGAGATAGAAAGAGATGATGTGGAAAGAATGAGAAGGGATGAAAAAGAGTGAAATGTCGGAAAGCGGGATGAGGGAAGAGAAGTGAAATTGTGGGAAAGAGAAGTGATGATATGAGAGAGAGAGAGAGAGAGAGAGAGAGAAAGATAGAGAGAAAGAGAAAGAGAGAGAGAAAGAGAGAGAAAAAGAGAGAGAGAGGAGTGAGGGTGTGGGAAAGATGGTGAGTGTGAGAGAAGGTGGGTGAGAATGAAATAGAAGAGAAGAATGTGTATGAGGGAGGAAGGGGTGCTGGAGAGAGAGACGGACAGAGAGAGACAGAGAGGGAGGGACAGAGAGGGAGGGAGAGAGAGGGAGAGAGAGAGAGAGAGAGACGATAAATGTGTCACTCAGCATTCTAGATCGGCAGCAAAGCGAGAAAATACATTTTTGCTTCGAAAGCAGCACGTAAATGAAACATTCTCATATGAGAAAAGAGTATGAATACCGACTGCCTGGGAAATCCCGAATGACATTCCGTGTGTGGCCGCGTGGGCGAGGCGGCGCGGCTGTGCGCGGCCAGCTACTTCGCCATGTGGGTGGTGACGCTGGGGCTGGCGTACCTGCTGCTGCGCGCCTACCTCAAAGGTTCGCTGTCCGAGTGCTGCGCCAAGAGGATCCTCTGCGGCATCAGTGAGCAGCGCCGCAGCGCACCGTCGCGCGTCCCTAGTTCGATGACAGTTTCGTAAGCGGTTGGGAATGCGTTCGGTTACGTATCGGTTACGGTCGGTTACGGTCGTTTCGGTCGGAATCTCGGAAGCTACGGTCGCTTCGGTCGGTGTTCGGTTACGGTCGGAAGCTTATGTATACATTTGGGAATACGTTCGAAGCCGTGGATTTTTAAGGGCATCCTTGGTACATCTTCCTTCGAAGGAGTAGTAAAGCCGGATGTCCCACATTGTAGATTTATGTGAAATATCCTCCAGCGTGAAAGAAGCCTCTGAGCTAAATTCAAATCAACCGACCGCGTTTCAACAATCAATTCAACCACTCCGTGTTTCTCCGCTAGATGGTGAAAGGAGCGTACCAAAATGTGCGTGGTTATGCGGAAGGGTCACTCTGACGGTCTGAGTCTCGCCACGTTTAGTAGGACATAATTGAATTGAAATAAACTGAATTGAAACATCGTATCCCAACCTCTGTAACAGTTAAGACGGCACAAACTGAGGTATGACAGCTCGATACATACCCATTATACCACCGCGTTTCCTTGCAGTCGCGCGCCAGGTTGCGGGCTCAAACCGCCTGTCCTAGACATGCTCGTTGTCGCTCAGTTAATGACAAACTGGTTGCTCATTACGATAATGAGTATCCCTTCTGTTCAAAACAGACTCCAGCCTAAAAGAAGCCTTTGAGCTAAATTCAAATCTACCGAGTGACTTCTTTAATATTTCCGTTACTGTTTTGACCTCTGAAGCACACTGAAGTGATTCTCGTAAATGTTTCAATTTCGCCGAGGCCAGTTATACCTCCCCGCAAATTTATGTCATTTCCAAGTCTTGAAGCGTTGTTGTAGACCGGGGGAGATCATTAACATCATCTGAAAACAGCGAAGGCATTGCATTTCTGACTACCGAGATGAGATTCTAGCGAGATGAGGTTCTGATCGAGAAAACAGAGGTTGTGTCTCTCGGTTTTTGTGACGCCAAGTATTAAAGTGGGTGTGTCAAGTGCAGGTTGCTGGGTTAAAGGCGTGGGAAATGTAAATGAAAAAAACAACAACAAAAAACGAAAAGAAGTACAAATTAAATTGAAGTAAGTCGACGGAAAAGGAGAGAAAAACTATTTTTGCTCCAAATGCAGCGAGTCAAAAAACCGTATTTGCAACTGATAATCTTATATCAGAAGATATAATAGAGTGTGAGGGTGTGAATATGTCTATCAGAAGATATATCAGAGTGTCAATATTTCCGAGCGTGCGTCGGTCTTCTCGCAATGTACAGGGCTGTCCGATGTTGCAGATTCGCTCGTGCCTAGCGCGTGCCTCTTGGGCATCGCCTTCCTGGGTTGCGACACGCGGGCGAGCCTGTGCCTGGCGACCGTCGCTGTCACGTTCATCGGCGCTTTGTCCTTCGGCGTCGTCGCCAACCCCATGCACCTGGCCCCCAACTTCGGAGGTGAGAGCCTCCGAAGCACCTCGCTCTGTAACATCTGGATTGTTTTTGCTGCAAGTCGCGCGCACCCTTTATCGTTGCGTAACACGCATGCAAATAGACGAACGTCCCGGTTTTTGGGGGTACGATATTGCGGGTATCTCCTCCCCTCGTGCCGGGAGAGGTGGCTCAGGGCATCAACTGGTGTCACTGCAGCGCCTCTGACGGGGTCTTAGGTGTGAGTCCCAATGGAGCCAGGATTTTCGACACCAGCTTGCCACGTAGGTCGAATTCAGTCGCTGACTGGAGAGGAATTCTAGTGGCCGACTGTTCTGATTGGTCGTTTTCGTAGTTTCTCCGATCGACACCAGGAGAATACCGGAGCAGTACCCTAACAAACGGGCCACGAATCGCGATCTTTCCTTCCTCTTCCTTCTCCTATCCTCACCCCTTACGTACACACATTTATACTAACATGAACTACACCATCACATATGTAGGAATATCGATGGAGAGCTTAGAGTTTCTTCCGGGTGGGGCGGTGCCTTGCTGTTGAGAGATACCTGGTCTGATGGGAGATACTTGGTTGGGGTAAATCCCACTAGCTGACGGCAGGTCGGCTCCGGATCTCGCCATCCAGCGGGGGAAGACCACCATTACCTCTCGAGGAAAATCATGCACTACCCCTCAGGGGACTAACGATTTAGCCGTTGATGCGCCCGGAATCACTATCAATCGATCAGTGAATCCTCGCCTCGCTCAGCAACGCGCGCCTGGGCTGCGCGAGGGACAGGCCGGCGGGCACGATGACAAGGCCACTGTCGCATGCTTCGAAACGAAGAGACAAACCTAGCTGGTGCTCAATCGGCACGGACTTTCTCGTCCGTATTTTCGCGCAAAACGTCGCGAACAGTACTAAAATTTTCGAAAAATTGTAGATGACCTTAAATCTATCTTTATGGAACAAATTTCATTAAGGGAAAGACGTTAGCGACATTTTAGTTGAAGGAAGTCCCCGGAAAATGTTTGAACTTAATAATTAGGGTTTTCATCGAACATGATACCTGCGCCACTCTCTTAAACGTCCTTTACACTATTCAACTAAAAAAAATCTAAAACGATGGAGCCATTTAAAAAAAATAGATAATATACCATGGGTGTTATGGAAAGTAGCCTTCAAAATCCAGCCGAATTGCTTCGGGGCGGACGCTTGGGTAAAATCATTGTCCCGTAGACGACTGCAAATATTTTTCTCTGAAGGCATTGTCTATATTGTCTCTCGGTGGAATACATTAATAAATAGTTATACCAATTGCTTTTGAAATAATAAAGAACTTCTTTAATTGTTTCCATCTCTATTGTTGTCATTTGACAGATCCTAATACTTATGAGGAAGAAATAGGAAGGTCAAGGATGGCTTCGGTCAATATCACCCGATTGTGAAAACATCATTCTTTTCATATTTTACGGTTGAGAAAATAGGCGGTGTTATCGCTATCGAAAAATTAACAACACAAAGAACTCCCATGAGTTTTTTACTTGTATGTTGAGAACTTTCAAATTTTCAGGACCGCTGATTTCGATTGTCAACTTTGTTGCTGCAATCCCCGGCACATTTCTCCCATTTGTTGTGGGAATTATCATAGAAGATTCGGTGAGTGTTGACGCTCATTAAAGTAATTTTTTGGTTGATGGCACATATGTGATTAAAAGTCAATTTATGTTTTTATTTATATTAAATTTTGTTTTGTACGTGTAATAAACAATTATCAATATATCTGTACAATAGAAAAGCGTATTTAAAAGTTCCTGTGGTAGATATTTGTTACATATTCTTTTCTAATTATAATTTTTGAAATTTAATATATTGACGACTGTTGTTTATTCTTACGGACTGATGTTAACAGTGGTTGATAGATGACCATGGATAATTAGATCAGTTATATCAACACTTTTTTAGACAACCACCGTTTCATTTAGGACATACACAGCGTGCTAAAGGCTGAATTTTTAGCCTTAATGCTAAAGGTAAGACGAGGCTCATATCTTCATAAAAAGCTGTGAATGCAACAAAGTAAAAAAAATACAATTGTCTGATTGCATTAGCTACTGATGACCTTAATAAAACATAGTACATAATTAAGTGATTTATATACTTGGATTAAAACGTAAGTCAGTAAGATGATATAAAAAATAGTATATTCTACACGTAGTAAAAACTATTTTATTTTGCTCCTAGGATTGATCTCAGTTTTATTCAGTGTGCCTTTAGACAAAAAAGGTAGATTAAAAAATTGAAATATGATAATCAGACTTAACTAACGAAAAGAAATAACTAACACTATCTTACGTTCTTTCAGGCTAAATTGCTCAATTGGATTCCGCTTTTATACGCTCTCTTTGGCCTGTACGTTTTAATGTTCCTCGCGTTCGGCTTGGGAGGAACGTGTGAAGAACAGTGGTGGAATAACCCTAAAGATGACAAGACTTCATAAGAATGAAGAAAGATATTCCATAACGGAAGAAAGACAGCTCAAGAGCATTAAGAAAGAAAAGAGCTCGAACTAGGAAGAGTTATGTTCATTGGAACAAGTTTAGAAGAAGCAGAGATCGAACAGTACAAAATGACCAACGAAGAGTGTTAACTGTGGATAAATATAAGGAAGAAAAATGAATAAAGCGAGAGCAATATAATATCGTAAAGGAAACTCAGGCAAAAAAGCTGAAATAAATTCAATTATTCAGAGAAACTGCATGGTTATGTATTGTATTCTATACGTTTATTGTGTTATCTTATTTTAAGGTACATTGTGTATTATCTTTTTCAATCAGAAAGGAAGAAGAAGAGCAGAGAAAATAAGGCTTAAGGGTGTTAAATACTCTTAGGTGTTACCACAAGCTAAGTATAATATTAAAAATATTATTTCTCTTTCATTATTATTTTATTTATTTTCTCATGTACTACTTAGTATAAAATTATAGTAATGCTGTTTCGAAACCTGTCACTTTTTTATTCTGGTAGTTTAATTAATCTATATCAGCTTTGATATATCTTATTTTAAAACTGTTTTAACGTAATGTTCCCATCTTGTGTATTTGAAATTATTATTCCACATGTCTATTAAAAACGTTTTATTCAACTGTTACTTTATAAACAGTTAATTTAATATAATAAATATGTTAATGGACATACAATGGTTGTGTTGTAGCCAGCCTATTGAAACACTTTCATATTTTATGGGGGTAGTATTTCGAATTTAAAAAAATATGCACACTGCAATTGCATTACGTAATCGTAATCAAAGAACCTGCTATTATACTTGAATTTTTATTTCTTGGCGTGTGAGCATCTGTCTTCACGATGTAATATCTCACGGCATTTCGCGTCTCTCTCGCTCATGCCGCTAGATGACGCATGGTCGTGATCTTATCGAGCAGGCCTGGCGATCATGCGACATCTAGCGGCACGACCGAAAAAGATGCGAAATTGAGAATTCTAGCAGCCGGCTGCTCCGATCGGTAGTTTTCCGTGGTTTCTACGGTCAACACCAACGAATGCTTGAGCAGTACCCTAAAAAACAGGTCGCTAGAATTATCCTCCAGGCAGCGACTGAATTTGCTCTAGCTGACAAGCTAGAGTTGAAAATCTTGCCACTGTCGGGAGTGGTACCCTAGAACCTGCCGGTCAGAGGTACTGCAGTGACATCAGTTGATGCCCTGGGTCACCAAAGCTGATCACTGGGATTGAATGAGTTTATTCAATGTTTATAAATTTCAGGTAAATCAAATATGAATGTGTGTAAAATCAGAATATTGGGTCTCACCTGGAAAAGAATATTAACAATTATATGTGACGATAGAATTAATTTCCACCCCTACAGGGAAACTAGTAGTTATTTAACACAAAATATATTAAATACACGTGAACAGATTTGTAGAGAAAAAAATTATAAATAGTTGTATAGTGTGTTATTTCCAACTCGTAATTGTTATTTGAGACTTGCGAAGAATCCAATAGTGATTATTTCATAATGTTTTTATTGAAAATTTACATTAATTTGTATTTATTTTATTTACTATACATTATATCTTGTGGAAATGAAATGTATAATGAAAATTTTGGATAAGATAATGTATTCACGTATTTGCAGATAGGCAACTTAAAATATATCATTAAAGTAGGAAAAACTAATTCACTAACAAAAAGTACTTCATTGAGTAATAAATTATTTAGTTTCAATATTTTTAAGGGCGGTAATAATGAGAAATCGCAACATTAAGAAGAATTTGTGCATTGGATACTTGGTTCTACGTAAAGCAGTTAATTTTTATTAATATTTAATGCTATTTTGCAATATGATATTGATTTGATAAAATTACACAAATATATTTATAGATGAAGTATTTTTTCCTTTTTAGAGGAGCTGAATTTCAGTTTTGTCCGGGATCCGAAATAGTCTAGCTTCTATCGTGGTGCAATGGAGCTGGTTTTCAGAAATCAGCTGATGTCACAGTAACAAATGCTTCAACATACTTGTTTCTTGGAAACATTTCTCATTTGTTTTCTCATCAAGTCGTGATTTAACTTTTAAAATATGCTGGAGAAATCATTTCTGAGACTGAGTATTCATGATGCCGATTCGGGCATGCTCACGTATGTATACTTTTTAAAGTAACAATGGTTAAAGGTATTTTTTTCGTGATACTACTTTTTTATTTCACACATATCCGTTTGCTAGAGAATTGCCATCATGACGTGAGTTTTGAAATAAAAGAATGCTATGTTTTAATCGAATAATTGCTAGTGAATGTTATGTCAGTTTCTTATCCATTTGAGTTGCAAATAAAACTGGTATATCACTGTTCAATTGAACTAATTTGTAAACACCTACGTTTTACAAGTGAATTAATGTTTGGTTCATTAGAGTATAACAAGTAAGTTTGAGGAATGTACCAGAAATGGGGGAACAGACATTTCATTTCAAAATAATACAAAATCTTAACTATTTCGTGTAGTTTATTAACTTCCTGTAAGTTACTATTTTAACCGTAGTGTATGAATTAGTTCCTTTTGTATAATTTTTCGAATATGGCTACAATTATTTTTATAACAATACTTTTAATAATAGTATCCCTTACTGTATATAAAAATATTCCATTAGTGTGAGATTCAAACTTTAACAACGGAAGTCCATTTGTGTCAATTCTGGGAAATTACGAGCGTATTTTTACTTTATCACACTTTTACACAATACGTAGCAAATATTGCAATGCTGCAGCCAAAAAAGCGTTTTTTCGACAGAAACATTCGTAATGTAGTTTTCTAATTCCGAAGATATGAATAATTCTTGCTCATATATGTATGAAATTACTTTCTCTAACACGTTGAGTAGTGAGAATCCACGTAATGTGCATCTTTTATACCGACAAATTTGTTTACGCCAAAGCATCTGTGTGTCCGACTATCAGTTTGAAAATAACACAAGTTATTGTGTTTGAAAATAACACAGTTAACTCACGGGGAGGATTTTCACCATAATTGATATTTCCCAATCGATCTGGTTAAGGTCGAGGCCCTTTGAAATTGAAACAGATATTTTGATTTTGAGGGTACCATAAGTGAAGTCTCAATGATATTTGAAAATATTAAAAATGTTTCCATATGTTTTCTTCGTTTACATTAAATTCTCTGAATTTTCAAAAACTGCAATGGTTTAAATTTTTTCTACAACTGCAATATTGCTGATAAATATTTTTTCCTTAATGAAATCTCTCCAAAAAAATTAGATCTTAGGAGTAAAATGAAATCAGTAACTTTTTTCAAAATATAAGTAATTATCGCGTAATTTAAAGAGTACATCAGAAATTTTAAAAAACCGAGTTCCTCAAAACGGTCCCCAGTTTTTTTCTTTCTCGAATAGTTGAAAGTTTTTTTCTCTCGAATAGTTGAAAGAACGCTAGTGAAATTGGCGCAGGTCTGATATTCGCTGAACTCTCCAAATTGCCAAACATAGCAAAAGTTACAAATTATGCGAGAAAGCATGCGCTCTTTTACCACAGCTAATTTATACTAATTGGGCTTGTTTTAGCATGTATCCCTTGCCGGTATCAGTACGCAGTGATGGCATGCTTGGGGCTAGTCGGGATATCGGTGATGCGACTCAACACCAACATGGCCATTGTGGCGATGGTCAACCACACGGCTCTGGAAAAGGAAATCATGAACATCACCCCCATATGCCCTGGCCAAGACATCGCTCCAGAGGTAGTGCCACTGTGCAACGTCAAGCGATTCCAGTAAAGGAGAAGCCTCACTTGCGAGTCGCGATCTCGTTTTTTACTTTCTCGTATATGTAGGTTTAAACGAAGTAATCTACAATATATAGACAAAACTTTGTAATGCTTCAGAGAAAAGTGTTTATTTTTACAGACAAACTCGTTTTGTGACAACTTATTACGTACAAGAGAATTCTTCCTGCTCCTATGTGTAGTAAATTACTTTCCGTAATACGTAGTATAGATATTATCCATGTTTTGTGATTTGTTAATACTGAAAAATCATTTTATAAGAAGTTCATCCGTCCATCTGTCT